CCTTCGCCATGCGGCTGGGAAAGCCTTGGCGGTTTGATGGTGTTCAGGACGACGTGCTCTTCTGATCCGCCGCACGAGCCTTGGAGGTTCGGTGTCGGTTCAGGCCACTAGGCAAGCGAGCCCAGGTGACCTTCGGTAGGCTGTTCAATGGACGTTCTGGATGGTAAAGCCCTAGCGGTTGATGGTGCGCTCGCTCGCTTCGTTGAAGGCAGCTGCTCCAGGTGGTGGCCCAGTCAAAGTAGACGGCTGCCACCCCCGATGCATTGACGTCCAGGGCTAGAACGTAGCGCCCCGGTAACCCGGTGTAGCTTCCTGGCATCGCCGTCGTCGTCAACCCTTCAATTCAATTCGTCGATTCAATCAAGCACGACATTCTATTGGGAAGACTTCATAGAGGTGGGATTAAGGGGAATTCGCTTAGCCTAATAAATAGTTACTTATCTAATTGGTTGCAATATACAGACGTTAATAACCCGAAGTCAAATATGGGTAAAATAAAGCACGGTGTCCCGCAGGGCTCTATCCTTCGGCCGCTGTTATTTTTAGTGCATATCAACGACTTAACTAACGTCCCGCTTTTTTGAGATATAATTATTTACGCTGATGACACCAATATATAATTTTTTTTTCTGGGAAAAACCTAAAAGAGATTGAGCACCATACCAATACGTGGCTCGGAAATGTGTCATTATGGCTCATAGCAAATAAGCCAAAATTAAGCACTAGAAAAAATAAGTATATTATTTTTAAAACATGCAACAAATGTGTCCAGCAAGAAATTCTCATACGATATCACGGCGATATTATTGAACGGGTTGTTTTCGCACAAATTCCTTGGCGTTTTTTTTTTTTCACGAAAAAGTAAGCTGGTATTTTCATGTAGACACACTAAGAACCGAGATCTCGCGCTTCATTGGACTTATCTGTAGAGTTAGATGTTTATTGCCACGTCGAATAAAGAAACAGTTATACTACGCATTGGTTCATTCTCGTTTTATCTACTGCCTAGTTGTACGGGGAACAACAGCAAAAACAAATATAGACAGCCTATATACACTGCGAGAGAAAGTCTTACCTTTAATAGCAAATGCGCCGTACAGGAGTCATAGTGCTCCGCTTTTCAGAAAGCACCAGTTATTAACACTGCAAGTAGTTATGAAAAATAAATTATCTTTAATCATCTATAATCAAATAAAGTCCGAGCCAACAGCCTTCTTTCAACGGTACCTTAGGAGAGAACATATTTCCAATCTTACATCTACAAACTACACAAGAGAAAAAGTACGCACAAAGTACGGAAACCAGAAACTATCTAACCCAATACCCATCCTTCTAAATGACCATCCTGATCTTATGGCTATAATCGAAGACAGTGCATCAATCCAGGCTTTAAAAAAAAACATGAATATGTACTTTCTGTCATATCAAGAGTGACTGCGTTCTCTTTTCTTTTTTTTTTTTTCTCTTTGGAGAGCTAAAATATATGCTGTGCCATGTTTTATACTTTTTTTATCATGGCGTGTTATTTGTTGTTTTCTTGACCTTTATGCAGTGTTATCCCGTGTGCATTGCTATGTTTCTGCTTTTCATATTGTTGTTTACGTTTCGCAAGGTTTCCTTTTACCCCTGACAGACGGAAACGTAAATGTCATGTTGATCGAATGTCATTCACAGCTCGGCGAATCAGTGTCGCTCTTGCTTTCGATCGCGCTACTCCGCCGGCCTTCGATTCCTTCGACGCAATCTTTTTGTATTTCCGTTTTCGATACAAGTTCTCCAAATTAAACGCTTAGTTTCTGTTCGTTCGCTGCCTCATCATTTGTCATTCGTTACAATATCCGTCACGTGCCTTTCCGACTTCTGTTTTAGTGGAACGAAAGCGACCTCTGGGACACTCAAAAGAGCGTCTGGGTAAGAGGAAAGTTCATCCTTCCCTTCTCCAATTGCTTAGGTTATGATCTCGCCCCTGCAACTTTGGGGACGGATACCACGTGTTTGGCCACCGTCGCTCAGACAGGCACAAGGGGGCCGTGGCGCTCGCTCCTTTCCAAGCCACATTGAAACGAAGTATATAGCAGCACCTCTTTCATGGGTCTTCCAATTCATCGCCGCTGGATGGAACCAGCCAGCCACACAAACTTCACGTTCCTGCTCTCAGTGCCAAACAAGTAAGCAACAGTGGATTTAGCGGAACAGCTTTATTTAAACGTAGAAATATAAAATGTAGAAAGTGAGAGCCCAATTGGTGTAAATGAGAAGTTATTGCGGTGAACATTGCACAAGGTACTAACAATGTAACTGCAGCGCACGTGGGCGTCGTGAAGAGTAACAAAAAAAAAAACGGAACGGAAACACTTCTTTCATACAAATATTGTGAATGCAAACACCAATGTCCACGCACTGCATAACAAGCACACTTGTGGTAGGAATTTCATTTGGTAGGTACGGAGCAATAGACAGTCGAACAACAGAAAACATGCCGAGTGGAGGAAGGCTTGTTGCCATAGTTCACAAAACTTAGATGTCAAGCTTTCTTTTTTACTTTGGCGGTTACACAACACCTGTAAAGAATCCTTCTGTAAAATGTCTTCTTCAATATGCCATATCATATATGCCCTCACGCTAGGGAACGATAACACGGTATTTGCACATTGTCATTTACTTCCTATAGTAACTGCAGGTGACCACCACTCTTGTATTAATTTTTATGAAGTATGTAATGTATCATGAGCTTTCGCGAAAATGCAAAACGGCATCAAATGGACACAACTAGACGAGTTTGGTTACTAAAAACCAAAGCACGACTATGGAAAATGCAGACAAGTGGCTATCATCGGTTAAGTCATGTGGCTGAGAAGAAATGGCGAATCTATCACCAGGTTTAATTTGACTAGAATGCTTTCAAATGTAGACAATGAATGCAGCATCACTATAAAAATACTCTCGATCCATCTTTGTGTTAGCAAACCTCCACCTGAGAAGCACCTAACAGCAAATGAATCACTTGAACAGGTGGCAACCCTGAAAAAGTGAGTATTTATAACATTGGCTAGCGTAGCTACTAGTCAGGCTAGATCCAGCGCTGCTGAGATCCCCGATACAAAGGGGTTAGCTCCAAATTCAATCCAATCAAATACAGCGACCACAGCCAGAAAGCAGCAAGCAAAACCAATTTTTCCTCAACTTAACAAGAATGTCTCCTATCTCCACCGCTTTTTGCGACTAAAATAATCAGTAGCCTAGAAACAGGACATGACGTAAACGGCATTCCTTGTATACACAGCAGCTTTAAAGGCAACGGTGCTAACATAATAGCTCACCAGAAACCTGGGTATACAAAAGACCTCTGCTCAAACCAAAAAATAACAATAGTGTTATGTATCCCAGGCAAGGACTCAAGCTCGGCGTAGACAAGCGTCCGGACGTTACTTTAATGGCGCCTAGAATGCCCGTCTCGAGGCCCAGAAACCCGTGCACCAGTCCCGTGCTCTTGAAAGCGCGGGAGTCCGCTCACGCCCTGTCCTGGCCACCGGCCGGTACATTACAAATAGTGAACACCAGAGAAGGCTTCGGCATATATCACAGAAGCCTATCTTATTTTGTGTGCACCCACAAAACCTGCTTCTAAAAAGTGCGCATCCTGAACTGTGCTTGGGTGTGCAAGTTTGGCCGTATGTGTCCGGGCCTCTTAGCCTCTTTTACTCTCCTAGTACAGTTCATGTAGCCACTACAAGCACTCTTTTTAAAAGTACAGTAAGCCAGGTTTGCAGGTAAACGGCGAATTTTAGATACAGCTTGCTAGCATCACTTGCACATTCAATCGAAAGCCAATTCTACGAGAATCACTTATAGACGACGAGCGTTGTGTGGACTAGTTTTACAACTCCATTAAGAAAAGTAAAGTTGCGTTCTACATCATATGTATTATTGCCATGATGGTATAATCTAGATGAGTCCCAATTCAGCAAATAATGTTAATCAACATTGTAAAATCCGAGACGTAGGATAAAAGGAGAAGAAAAAGGGTTTCTTCTCCTTTTGTCCCACGTCTCGGGTTTTATAATGTTGAAAGTTCACCAGCTCGCATGCATCTTCTCTGTAATTTCAATGTTAACCAAGTCTGCTCAATCTTGGAGGAGCAGAACAGTTCACCAGGATGGCAACACTTGTACCAAGCTAGGCCCAATTCAACGTCTCACGTACAATAGAGTTTGTTCATTCACCCTGTGCAAAGCCCAACACCCGGCGCCAGGCAAGAGTGCCGACATCACATCTATGGCCAAATGCTGGCCTAATAACACCATGCAGTGAACCTCAAGGCAGCAGAACAACACCAAACCAGCAGAAAAAAACTTTGAGCAACTGCCGATCCTTTACACCCGTGCGAAAAAACCAATTCCAAAAGTCAAGCCAATCTCAGAACAATGTTGTAATGACCAGAACACAAAAATATCCCTCATCCTATAGGAAAAGTGCAAAAATAAGAGTTCCACAAGACTGAATAAGGGGGGGGGGGGGGGGGGGAGAGGAGACAGCTACAATAACTTACCAGTAAAACAAAACAAACAAAAAACGTAAAGACGTTTACAAATCTCTGTAACACGAAATTAGAGCTTTTTGCTTTTTTTCTTTTTGAAGGAGGGGAGGGTATTCCGCTCCTCCTCCTCCCTGCCCTCTCCTCCTTCCCCTCGTTCCTCCTCCTCCTCTCTCCTCCACCTCTTTTCAGCTTCTTCTTCCGAACCTTCCTCCTTCTCCTCCGCACGTGACGTCAATTTTCCCGTTAAATCTAGCGGAGAATCTGAATTTGTTTATAGGGGACGTGACACCAAGTCATGTGACGTCATTTTCTCTGCTAAATTTAGCGGGGCATTGAATTGGTGTCGACGTCACGTGACGTCAAATTTCCCGCTAAATTTAGCACGGTTACGCCAACGATGTGAAACCCGGAAGCGGGCGCCTAAGAGCTGCGCTCTAAAAGTAACCAGTCAGGTTTGTGCGTTTCACACAAGGGTCATCTTGGAGTCCGAGTAGCACCGGGGTGTCGGGGCAGCGGGACTGTAGCTCTGAGGTGGCACATAGATGCTAGGAGGGCCAGACTGAGCCGGAGGCACCATGCCAATGCCCGGGTTGTTTGCAGCATTTTCCAGCTGCTTGTAAAAGGACAGCACCACCACGAAGAAGTAGCACTAAAACGAAAGGAGTTTCTGTTATAAGAATCAGCGGGCCACTCCAAGGAACCCGAAAATATGTTTATGTCGATATGAATACAAGGGGTCCACCATTCTTATGCTTCGAAATATCCAAAACTCTCCCTGGTCATCCCTGGTCAATTCAAAGAGAAAAAAAGAAGGCATCAAACCAGAAATATAATGAATGTAGTATTGCACTGACAGAAAACATGCTTAGGTAGCAGGATGCACTCTACCATTGGGCGCACAAAAAAATTGTTCACGCCGTCATCTTTTACTAAAGAACGAATGTAAAGTTTGGTTGTGCCCTGAATTGGTTTTATGGAGAATTCTGGCATTTTTATATCCCCTACTGAAAAAAAAAAACCATTTGGCGCCTATATGAAAATAAACGGGTCCATACCGGTAACATTTTAACCATACCGGTCACCAGTTTGTCAAAGGGGTCGCCCGTATGGCTCAAAGGGGTCCCCCGTATGAGCCATAACGGTCACCTATTTGGACAAACAGGTCACTCCTTTGTCAAACGGGTCGCTCGTCTGGGCAAATGGGTCGCTCGTCTGGGCAAATGGGCGACTCGTTTGGGCAAAGTTGTCGCACGTTCACTCAAACCGGTGACCATGTTGCAAACTGTACCGGTTTAATCAAACGGCTCTCCGGAGCCCGTTTAGTACTGAACGTACAGATCGGCGGCGTGGGCGTGAGCGCCGGTTCATCGATTTCAGATCGTCCGCGTAATGCAGGTAATTATATTTATATTTCAATTGCCCTGATGTTCGCTTATACTGCAACTAAAACTAACACTTTTTTTTACGAGAAAAGAGTCAAAGTACAGGCTAGCTGGTGGAATTCAACCATTTCGTCGTTTACCCTGAGACTGGGTTTTTTTTTTTTGAAGAGCAGAAGTAACAGAAAAAACAGACAGGTAGCTGAGTTTGAGACCTGTCTGTTTTTTCTGTTACTTCTGCTCTTCAAAAAAAAACCCAGCCTCAGGGTAAACGAGGAAATGGCCTTTTTTTGTTGTTGTTTTACGTAAACGCGCGACGTTGGTGAGCCGATATTTTTGACAGAACTTCAAAACTTCGTCCATCTTTGTTGCATCAATTTACTTTTTCAGCTCGAATCTCTCTCGCAGAAGACGCGACCGCGTGAAAGAATGTACGTCTAGACTTTGTTTCACTTCACTTCAAGACGCAGCGAAGGTAGCACGCGTACACGCGGCTGCAAGAACATCGAGCATTGCGAGAGCACGCCCGCCGTTGCAGCAGTCAAACTACGAGCTCGCGCTGGGCACTTTCTTCGCTCGGGCGCAAGCCGAGCTCCTGGCCGCCCCGCCGCCATTTCCAAGGTTCGAGCGTGCTAAAATGCGCGCGCGCGTGTTTTTTTTTTTTTTTTTCCGAGGTTACAACAACACATTTCACTGGAATTTCCATCGTAAACCGGAGACACCAGCTCGCCTGTGCTTTTACCTTTCTTCGTTGATTCTCACTGGAATGCCTGGGGAGGGGCAGTGGGACTGTCCCTGTGGTCCTCGCCCCCTCCCTCCTCTCTTGTCACCCGTCACGTGACTCGCAGCCGCGCGCGAGCTACACGCTGATAAGCATCGAGATCCGGAAGGGTGCGCCTAGCAGCCGCTTTTTTCTGTGTCTGCTTGTTGTCAGTTCCAGCTCGAACTTCGCGCGTCCACCTGCTTCGATCTGTCGCCTAACTCTGCGGTCTTATTAGGATGTCTCTCGACAACGTATTGGATGTGCATCAAGGCTATCAGTATTTGAAAAGTCCTACGTCTATATCGGCAACAAGCGATTCTTCAAAGAAGTCAGGAATTTTCGCGGTTTGGTTGGGTTCGGTAACTGACAGCTTGTGCGCCACATCGTGTTGAAACTTCCAAGAAGTCGTACCCTCTCATTTGTGTTTGTGTGGTTGTCCTGCTTTAACCGTGTCGACAAATATCACGGATTACATCTTTCAAGTCCGCTATTTTTATGGTAAGTGCACTGCCCTACTGAAAAAAACCATTTGGCGCCTATATGAAAACAAACGGGTCCATACCGGTAACAGTTTAACCATACCGGTCACCAGTTTGTCAAAAAGGTCGCCCGTATGGCTCAAAGGGGTCCCCCCTATGAGCCATAACGGTCACCTATTTGGACGAACAGGTCACTCCTTTGGCAAACGGGTCGCTCGTCTGGGCAAATGGGTCGCTCGTCTGGGCAAATGGGCGACTCGTTTGGGCAAAGTTGTCGCACGTTTGCACAAACCGGTGACCATGTAGCAAACTGCACCGGTTTAATCAAACGGCTCTCCGGAGCCCGTTTGATACTGAACGTACAGATCGGCGGCGTAGGCGCGCCTAGCGTTTCAGCCGTGGCAGCCAATGTTTCCGGAAGGCTGGTAGCGCCGGCTCATCGATTTCAGATCGTCCGCGTAATGCAAGTAATTATATTTATATTTCAATTGCGCTGATGTCCGCTTATACTGCAACTAAAACTAACACTTTTTTTTCTTTTTTTTACGTGAACGCGCGACGTTGGTGAGCCAATATTTTTGACAGAACTTTAAAGCTTTGTCCATCTTTCTTGCCTCAATTTACTTATGCAGCTCGAATCTCTCTCGCAGAAGACGCAACCGCGTGAAAGAATGTACGTCTAGGCTCCGTTTCACTTAAATTCAAGACGCAACGAAGGTAGCACGCGTACACGCGGCTGCATGAACATCGAGCATTGCGAGAGCACGCCCGCCGTTGCAGCAGTAAAACTACGAGCTCGCGCTGAGTACTTTCTTCGCTCGGGCGCAAGCCGAGCTTCTGGCCGCCCCGCCGCCATTTCCAAAATACAAACGCGCTAAAATACGCGCGCGCGCGCGCGTGTTTTTTTTTTTTTTTTTTTCGAGGCTACAAAAACACATCTCTCTGGAATGCCTGGGGAGAGGGGAAGGGGCTGTCCCTGTGGTGCTCGCCCCCTCCCTCCTCTCTTGTCACCCGAAAAGCCGCGCGCGAGCTACACGCTGATAAGCATCGAGATCCGGAAGGGTGCGCCTAGCAGCCGCTTTTTTCTTTTTCTGCTTGTTGTCAGTTCCAGCTCGAACTTCGCGCGTCCACCTGCTTCGATCTGTCGCCTAACCCTGCGGTCTTATTAGGATGTCTCTCGACAACGTATTGGATGTGCACCAAAACTATCAGTGTTCAAAAAGTCCTACGTCTATATCGGCAACAAGCAATTCTTCAAAGAAGTCAGGAATTCTTGCGGTTTGGTTGGGTTCGGCAACTGACAGCTTGTGTGCCACATCGTGTTGAAACTTCCAAGAAGCCGTTCCCTCTCATTTGTGTTTGTGTGGTTGTCTTGCTTTGACCGTGTCGACAAACATCACGGATTACATCTTTCAAGTCCGCTATTTTTAAGGTAAGTGCACTGCCACCTACTTCTTGGCAACGATTGACCGTTCTCCTACTCGTACTCTTCCAGATTATCTATAATTTTGCAGCCACTATTCTCGCGGCAGCCGGGCGTATAATTTCCCGAAAGTCTACCTTCATAGTCTAGAATTACCTCGGTTCTTGTTTGGTTTGCTATCTTCTCAGTTGTATAAAAGCTTAGAGTGCCTCTCACATTCCACAGATCGCTCGCACGTTTGTACTTGTCTATAGAAGACGTAATAAACTTTGAGGAGAATTGAAAACAATCTTTTGTGTCTGTTTTCCTGTCCATTTGCAAGCACCTACGTGAGTACATTTGTTCTACGTGTTTCCTCCATGTTATAAATAGTTTTATGAGTTTCGGAACGTCTTAAATAAGTTTAAGATAACCAACCTACCAGACGATCCCCGTTTAGGGCTAGCGCATAATTTCCCGATTCGAATGGCACGTTCAAACGTGTGGTCACGTGCAAGGTCGAACGGGCACCTGTATCAAACGGGCACCCGTATCAAACGGGCACCTGTATCAAATGGGTACCGTTTCGAGCGGGTACCGTTTCAAACGGCTACCCGTATCCCATAATCACGTTTGATCCAAACGGGTCGACAAGTTTGCACCCGTTTGATTTACCAGTTTGCCACCCGTTTGAATTTCAAATGGTTTTTTTCAGTAGGGTGCAACCTACTTCTTGGCAACGATTGACCGTTCTTCTACTCGTACTCTTCCAGATTATCTATATAATTATGCAGCCACTATTCTCGCGGCAGCCGGGCGAGTAATTTCCCGAAAGTCTACCTTCATAGTCTAGAATTATCTCGGTTCTTGTTTGGTTTGCTATTTTCTCAGTTGTATAAAAGCTTAGAGTGCCTCTCACATTTCACAGATCGCTTGCACGTTTGTACTTGTCTACAGAAGACGTAATAAACTTTGAGGAGAATTGAAAACAATCGTTTGTGTCTGTTTTCCTGTCCATTTGCAAGCACCTACATGAGCACATTTGTTCTACGTGTTTCCTCCATGTTATAAATAGGTTTATCATTTTCGAAACGTCTTAAATAAGTTTAAGATAACCAACCTACCAGACGATCCCCGTTTAGGGCTAGCGCATAATTTCCCGATTCGAATGGCACGTTCAAACGTGTGGTCACGTGCAAGGTCGAACGGGCACCTGTATCAGACGGGCACCTGTATCAAATGGGTACCGTTTCGAGCGGGTACCGTTTCAAACGGCTACCCGTATCCCATAATCACGTTTGATCCAAACGGGTCGACAAGTTTGCACCCGTTAGATTTACCAGTTTGCCACCCTTTTGAATTTCAAATGGTTTTTTTCAGTAGGGTCAGCTGAACAGATGTGGGTGCGTCGTATATCTCCCACTATTTTAATTCCTTAGAAAACCTCCCATGGTTCCTCGTTTTTCCCGACACTATGAAAATTCCCTAACCCTTATGCCCTCAAGAAAATATTAGAAATTATCTATAAATTTTGAGAGGATGTCAGCATTTTAGGGTAAGTAGAGTTCCGGGTTATTCAAATTGATTTTAGCGAAATGCGGAGGCTATCTTTTCAGGTTTGGCTTCTGAAAATTTGGTATTTATCGGAGTTACGCTCTGTAGTATCCACAATTCAAGCAGCATGCTAATTAAGAAAAAAATACCCACATTCAAATACACCGAAAGATTCAAAAAGTCATGTCTATTGAGAGCAATATTTACATAAAATGTGCTAACAAAAATCAACTGAGTGCACAGGCGAACTGGTGCGTTTTGATGATGTTTAAATTCGTCCGAGAAAACACAATAGCCGAGTACGAGAATTTCCTTCTCCAGTGCCCTTTTTCTTCTATAAAGTTTCCGCCCTTTTACCACAGTCTCAGTTAATTTGCAACATGATAAAAAATGTGGTATCTGGACTCCACCGTTATCAAGATGTCATAGCCCCATTTCCACAAGAGACCGAAATGCTACAAAGGTCGAAACTCGAAACCAGAACAGTTGCTAGGAGAATTCCACATACTTCAACTGCCCTCTATCGTTTTGAACTTATGCTGAATTCTCCCTTTGTTAAGGGCACATTCCATACATTCCTAATATGAACGGCTGAGTAACGCCACCGAGACTGCGCAACAGCGTCAGTGCCTGGCTCATTTTGCCCTTTTCCCTTACAGCTATGGCGCATGAAACAAGTGCTCGACTGGTGTGTTTGCTCCTCCCAAAAAATGCTCCCTCGATTTCCACCCGATGACATCATACAAGTGTCATATTGTCGCCAGCCACGATCCTGGCGGCGTCACTGTGGCGGTGGTGCATGTGGCAGACGCCTGTTCTGCTGCAGGTCACCCTCCTGCTGCTAGAAGAGTCACGGGAGGTTTGTCAGCCGGGAGGTGGGACGTCACGATGACAGCGACACATGCGCTCAGTCTTGCTTTTCATGCTATAGCATTCTTTAGCGACCCCCCCCCCCCCCCCCCCCCCCCCCGCCGATTTTTTTGGACTTCCTGGCCGTCTAATGCCAAGTGGATATGTGGCTCTTGATGTCGTCCTAGATGTCGTCCTAGATGTCGTTCTTGATGTCGCTCTTGATGTTGTTCTTGAAGTCGTTCTTGATGCTGTCCTCTATTTCGTCCTCGATGTCGTGCTTGATGTCCTCCTTGATGTCGTTCTTGATGTCGCTGTAGATGTAGTCCTTGATGTCGTCCTAGACAAATGATATTCAATTCATAGACAAACAAAAATAGTGGTTTCTGCAGCAATATTTTGTTCTAGAACATCTACGACCAGGCGCCAGGATCGCAACATCGGACATCATAACACTCCGGCTCTTCCGATGCCGTATGTTGCCATATAGGACAACTTTTGAAGCTTGAACAAAATGGCGGTATAGGATTCTAAATTACCAGTCGGAGACGTATTCCGGGCACTGTACTACAGCTTTCCGATACAGATGTCGCAGCCAGTCACGGAGAAACACTCACCCAAATGCATAACCAGAGCACAAGAAAGCACACGAGCCAAAGGATCTGGGTGGCACGCTGCAATCCAAACAGAAACGTTGCAGATCAATTCAGAGCAACAGGGTAGGCAGAAACTTCAATGAACATGATGGAATAAATATTTAAGAAGTGAAAGTGGGGAACACAAAGGAATGAAGACCTGCACATGTCAGCCTTCTTCCCCGTGTTTTCCGCACTTTCATTTCATGGAATTCATGATACAATAATAGAATCCTTGAAAGGGAGCTCAGATGTTGTTCTTTATTTTTTTTAGCTGTTTTAAACTACACACATTTTCGGAATATCCAGGCTTTACTGTTCCGGGCATGCTGTTTATTATCTAAAAATTGAAAGACATTTACAATCCCCTGTAACGCCGAATTAGAGCGCAGCTCTTGAGGAGGAGGAGGGTAGGGTACTGACTGGAGAAGATGGAAAGTCCCCTACTACTAAGATGGGTGTGAATCAACGTGTGCTTAACGCAAGTCGCAGAAAATGCACATCTTTAGGGAGAGCATCGCGTGTAAATTTGGCGGGAATTTAGCGGTTCAATTTTTTCCCCTAACTTTAGCGGGGAATATTTAAAAGCAGCTCTTAGGCGCCCGTTTCCGGCTTGAGCGGTGTCGCCGTAACCGCGTGGTGCATTATAGGTAAATTTCCCCGCTAAATCTATCAGAAAAATTTCCCTGCTTAATCTAGCGGAAAAATTTCCCGCTAAATCTAGCGAAAAAATATCCCGCTAAATCTAGCGGAAAAATTTCTCTGGGGGGCCACGTGACCTGGGGGTCATGTGACCCCCGCCGAGGTCACGTGACCACACCCCAGGCCACGTGACCCCCCGCCCCCCGAGGTCACGTGACCCCCCCTAGAACACGTGAGCCTCAATACCCTTCCCTCCTCCTCCTCAAGAGCAGCTCTTTTAGAGCGCAGCTCTTAGGGGCCCGTTTCCGGCTTGAGCGGCGTCGCCGTCGGCGTCGCCATCGCCGTCGGCGTCGGCGTTGGCGTCGGCGTTGGCGTCGGCGTCGGCGTCGGCGTCGGCGTAACCGCGCGGTGCATCATGGGAAATGTCCCATAATGCACCGCGCGAGCCCCTCACCGGGGTCACGTGACCTCGTGGGGGGCACGTGACCCCGGTGCATCATGGGAAATGTCCCATAATGCACCGCGCGAGCCCCCCACCGGGGTCACGTGACCTCGTGGGGGGCACGTGACCCCCCCGAGGTCACGTGACACCCCAAAGTCACGTGACTCACTGAGGTCACGTGACCCCCAATGACGTCATCGTCACTGATGACGTCACCGGCATCCACATCGTCATCGTCATCATCACTGATGACGTCACCGGAATCCACATCGTCATCGTCATCATCACTGATGACGTCACCGGCATCCACATCGTCATCGTCATCATCACTGATGACGTCACCGGCATCCGCATCGTCATCATCACTGATGACGTTACCGACATCCGCATCATCATCGTCATCATCACTGATGACGTCATCAGTGACGTCACTGATGTCGTCACCGGCATCCACATCGTCATCGTCATCGTCACTGATGACGTCACCGGCATCCGCATCGTCATCGTTATCATCACTGATGACGTCACCGGCATCCGCATCGTCATCGTCATCATCACTGATGACGTTACCGACATCCACATCATCATCGTCATCATCACTGATGACGTCATCAGCGACGTCACTGATGACGTCACCGACATTCGCATCGTCATCGTCATCATCACTGGTGAAGTCATCAGTGACGTCACTAATGACGTCATCGGTACCCGCATCGTCATCGTCAATGATGACGTCATCAGTGACCTCAGTGATTACATCATCGGCATCGGGGGTCACGTGACCCCCCCCTGGTTAGTTTAACCCCCCCCCCCCCCCCAGTGCTTTTCCCTCCTCCTCCTCAAGAGCTGCGCTCCAATTCGGCGTTACAGGGAGTTGTAAGCAGCTTTCACTTTTTTTACACTAGATTTAGCGGAAAAAGTTTTTCCGCTAAATTTGGCGGAGAAACTTTTTTCGCTAGATGTAGCGGGGGAATTGTTTCCGCTAAACTTAGCGGGGAAATTTTTTCCGCTAGATTTTGTGGGGAAATTTTTTGCGCTAAATTTAGCGGGGAATTTAGCGTCATCCTCATCGTCATCGTCACTGATGACGTCATCAGTGACGTTACCAGTGACGTCACGTGTGACGTCATCGGTGACGATGAGGATGACGTCATCCTCACCGTAATCGTCATCGCAATGACGTGAGGATGATGATTATGGCTGGTGTGACTGAGCCGAAGGATTTCTCGCGTCAGCTGTGCCATCGACGATGATTTCCGGTCAGTGATCAGGACCTCAGAGGAACCGTGCCGAAGGATTTCTTGCGTCAGCTCTGCCATTGACGATGATTTCCGGTCAGTGATCAGGACCTCAGAGGAACCGTGCCGAAGGACGATGCACTCGACAAGGAACTTGGCGAGTTCCACGGCAGTTCCTGCCGGAAGCGCATTCGTCTCGTCGTATCCTGTAATGTAATCGGTTGCCACGATTATACACCAGTTGCCTTGCATCGACAGGGGGAATAGTCCAAGCAAATCCCTTCCGATCTGCAGGAACGGCGTGGTGGGAGGCGCAATTGGCTGCACGAGTCCCGCCTGCTTGATGGGCGGTTTCTTGCGCCGTTGACACTCATAACATGATCGGATGTAGCAATGAACAGCCTTAGGGGGCTTTGGCCAGTAGTACTCCTCGCGAATCCTGGCGAGTTTCCTACTATATCCAAGGTGTCCAGTTTTAGGATCGTCATGGTAGGCTAGGTAAATTTCTTCGCGAAGGTCACCGGGAATCACCAATAGCTGCGCTGACTTGCTGGTGCCGAAGAGCACTTTGTAGATAAAGCTTGTACCAGCACAAAGGTTGGCAGGATTCTAAGATACTGGGGACTGCGCCTCCTCGGCCCTCCAAGTGCTCAATCAGCCCCTGGAATCGAGGGTCACACTGCTGGAGTGCTGCCATGTCACTCATTTTGATGGCACCGATAAAAACCTCCCCGTCGTCGTCGGCAATACTAGCAGGAGTTGACTCGACGGGGGCTCTCGAGAGACAGTCGGCGTCACTGTGCTTGCAGCCAGACTTATATACGGCAGTCATGTCGAATTCTTGCAATTGGAGACTCCAACGAACGAGGTTTCTGACGGGTTTTTAATGCTGGCGAGCCAACAGAGCAAATGGTGTTTTGTGACCACTCGGAACGGGCTCCCGTACAGGTATGGGCGGAACTTGGTTATCACTTGGAAAACGGCAAGGCGTTCCTTCTCGGTCGTCGATTAATTGCTCTCGGCCTTTGAAAGCGTCCGACCAGCACGGGCGATTACTCGATCTCTGCCCTCCTGCAGTTAGACCAGCCATGTTCCGAGCCCCGTATGTCTTGCGTCTGCGTGAGTTCCGGTCTCCGCAAATAGGTCGAAATGTCTGAGGATAGGAGGCGCCCGCAGTCTTCGCTTCGGCTTGTCGAAGGACCGTTGCTCCTCTTTTGTCTACTCGAACTTTACGGCACCTTTCGCGAGAAGTGTCAGCGGCACGGACAGGTTTGCTAAATCTCGAACAAACCGCCAATAGTATGCACGAAGTCCGAGAATGTTGGCAGGGCCTTCGCGAAAATTCTACCACGACACGCGCCTTCTTGGGGTCAGTGCGAACAGCGTTGTTGCTCACATCGTGACCCAGGAACTTAAGTTCGCTGCAGGCGAAACTATACTTTGACGGCTTGAGCGGCAGTCCAGCGGTTTTGATGGCGTGAAACACGGCCTGAAGGCGTTTCAGGTGTTCGTCGAAATACCGTGGAATAATGGCGACGTCATCGAGGTAGACGAGGCAACTCTGGCATTTCAGATCTGCTAGCATGGTGTCCATGACACGATAGAAGGTGGCTAGTGCTGTACAAAGTCTGAAAGGCGTAACTTTGAACTTGTGCAATCTGTCGGGCGTGACAAAGCAGTTTTCTCTCGGTCGCAGTCGTCGACCTTACTATGCCAATAGCCAATCTATAAGTCCATCGACGAAAATTATAGGAAGTGGCGCAGCCGGTCCAATGTATCGTCGTTGCGGGGAAACGGGTACACGGCTTTCTTGGTCATTGCGTTCCGTTGACGATAATTCGCTAAGAACCTTAGAGTTCAGTCCTTTACGAGTGAAACTGGAGAGGCCAAGGACTGCTTGAGGGTTGAACGATGTCTTCCACAAGCATTTCCTGAACTTGCTGTTGAATAGCCTGTCTCTTTTTCAAAGAAACTCGAATCAGCGACTGTTGAACAGGGAGTATGTCGTTCGTGATAATGCGGTGCTTCGCTAGCGTCGTTTGTGGGAGCCCTGAGGACGTGGCGAAAAACTCACTGAATCCTCCGAGAAGTTCATTCTGTAGCAAAAAAACTTTGGGTCGATGTCAAGTTTTGAGGGCGGCGTTCTCTGATGCTGAGATGAAGAAGGATCTCCCGAGAGTGCAGTTATCGCTGCTGCGTCCCGGAGTTCTTCGATTTGGTCCACGGCGGTACCTCTCGTAAGATGTTGCGGCTCTTGTCGAAAGTTTGTAACGAAGACCATGGCACGCCCATCGTGAATCTTCGTTACACCTCTTGTGTCGACTATTCCTTTTCCTAGAACCATTTGGATGCTGCCCTCAAGGAGAACTTCGAAGCAGGAACCTTCATTGATCCGAACGGGTACAAAAACAGGAGATCGTGGCGGCAGGTTTACGTGGTCGGCGAGGACTCTGACTGCAAGTGACTTCGCTCTGGGTACCTCCGGCGGTAGGGCATGATTTTGTAGCGTCAACCTCTTCGCTTCTAGGTCGATGAAGGCGCCGTATTCCCACAAGAAATATATAACGAGAGTAACGTCCCTCGCACAGCCCTGATGAATGACCAACTTCGCCGTGGATTTGAACTCGAGCAGTGCGCCTCCGAACAGGCGTCATGAGGTTAACTCCGGCTGTAATAATTTGTGGCTCATCTCACGAAGTCGTTGCTTGGGAATACCGGAGCGGAATAGTACACTCCGTTATTCCCAAATGCCGACACGTCAAGACCGTCAATGGCTCCGCTCAGGTTGTTGGGTACTGTTCCGAGAGCATCGTTCCGAGGCATTTCGTCGCTAGAAGGGGAGCGGTTCGGCCTTCTTGGAGGTTCTTGTCTGCATCGGCGAATGTCAACCCCCCTTCCCAAAGTTGTCGCGCTTAGTTTTTCCGGCTAGGCATGGGGGGACAATCTCTGTCGGCGGGACTGATGGAGACTTCACCCCGGATGCCGTGATGACAGGGAACGGAATCCTTGTGGTCCAGCCAGCAGCGGAGACGGAGATCGATGCAAGTATTCCTCGACGTCACTTGGCCGCTCTGCAAGCCGTGGTCGAGGGTCATTAGGTGCGAACACCTGCAAAGCTATCTCGCGGTAGGGGCACACCATTGATAAGTGTGGTCGGCTTCACAAGAGAGGTAGCAAACAGGGCGTCCGTCAGCTGTGCACCATACATCGGTCTTCCTCGGCCAGGGTTGCTGCGGGCGGATGTACTGGGCCCGTGCTCCATTGCGTCGGCAGTGCTGGTGTGCTGGAATTTCACGTTGAGGTGGCGGCCGGCAACGGTAGGCAGCTGGCGGGTGTCATCGGGCTATGGCGGCGTAGCTGAGAGTGGGCTCTTCCGGTGCTGCCACGGTGACGGGAGCTTCTGACTCAAAATCTCGCTGAACCTCTTCTAGGACGACGTCGGGGATGGAAATCGAGGCGGGGCGATCAGCAGTGGGTATAATTTTCCGGAGCTCTTCCCTGACGACGTCGCGGACAATTGCTCGAAGGTTGCCAGTGTCAATGCCACGTTGGTCGAATCGGGAAGATGCCAGAGTTGCAGCAACATGCGTGCTGGTGAGTCGGTTGTAGTGGCTGGCTCAAACCGACAGTGTACGCTCGATCTGTTTCTTCGGCAACGAATTCGTCGACAATAATTGGTGGGTTGCGAAGAAGGCCGCCGAAGATGTCGCTCTTCACGCCTCATCAGGACACGTAGGTCCTCCTCGGTGGCCTGAGGGTCGGCACGGCTGCTCAGGCGCAGAACGTCATCAACAAAGCTGGTGACAGTTTCTGGAGCCTGGAGTCCTTATTTACAGGAGGACTTCCGCTCGCTATCGTCGTTGCTGGTTCGTGAAAGTCCTCTTAAAAAAGGTCTTGCAGGTATCTCACGTCGGAAGGGAAGCCTCATGGTTCTCAAAAGAGTACCTCGTAGTTCCCTCTAAAGAAAGGTAGAGGTTTTGCAGACACTGTTCAGTTGTCCATCCGTTGTGGCGTGCCATACCTACGTAATGCTGAAGCCAATCTTCCACGTCTTCATGGACGTCGCCGTTTAAGGGTGTCAGCGTAAGTGGAGCGAAAGGCAGGAAAACGACAAAAGGGGTCACCGGTGCTAGCAAGGACTGGCTGTTCATGGTCGACTGGGCTTTCTTCCATGTCTCTGGCCGTGCACCCAATTGGGGGGGGGGGGGGGGGGGGGACGGTCCCTAGATGCGACAGCTTCCTGGATTCTCTGATTCTTCGAAAATAGGTCTTCTCGTCGAGCTTGGGATAGGACTTGGCTTTCGAGTTCTCAGATTGGTGTTGAACATTGGTAATCCTTATCCCGCACCTCCACCAAAATGTCACGAATGACAGCTGATGAGACGACGAATGAACAGAAACTAAACATTACATTTGACGAACTGGTGCCGAAAAAAAAGAGACGTTTACAAATCTCTGTAGCGCGAAATGAGAGCGCAGCACTTGAGGAAGAAGAGGAGAGGGTACGGATTGGAGGGTATGGCCGTCCGCATCCTCCGTACCCACTCCTCCTCTCGTCCTCGTCCCCTCCTCCTCTGATCCTCGTCCACCCCTTCTTTCCTCCTCCTCCTCTCATCTCCTCCCCTACTCCTTCTCCATTCCCCTCCCCCTCCTTCCAACCTCCTCCTCTCCCCTCCTCTTTCTCCTCCTTTCTTCTTCCACTTCCCATCCTCCTCCCCTCCCCCCTTCCTCCATAACCTCCTCCTTTTCCTCCTCCATACCTCCCCTCCTCCCAGAGTTTCCCCACTAAATTTAGCTGAAAAATTGACGCCACGTGACCACAACAGCAATTCAATTCGACGCTAAATTTAGCGGTGAATCGGATATCTGTCGAGGTCACGTGACGTCAATTTTTCCGCTAAATCTAGCGGAGAAACTGCATTTGTTCATAGGTGATGTGACACCAAATCTTGTGACGTCATTTTTCCTGCTAAATCTAGCGCGGTTGCGCCGACGCTAATGGCGACACCGCGAAACCGAGAAACGGGCGTCCTGAGAGCTCCGCTCTCCAATACGAAGAGGTATAGCGTCGCCGGCGCCGAAGGTCGGCGAGTGCACGATCGAGCGCAAGAGCGAGACTGACTTGTACGGTGCGGCGCAGCTTTTCTTAAGCCTTCCCTGAGACCTGGAATATTCTGCCTCGATCCTTCTCGAAGTATACATTCTGAACATAAATAGGCTGGAATCTTCTCCAATGTTTTCGCATCTTCTACTTTTAGAAAGGAAGAAGACGAAACGTGGTGCCGGGAATCGAACCGGAGCCACCTGCGTGTGAGCCACACTGCCGACTCCGCTACGTAAGCGCGCAGCAATATTAAATAGTACTTATCTAAAAAATAGATTCTATTTATGCTTTTTCTTATAGTTTCTACTAGGTTTTCTCTTTACTCCTGAAACACTGGTATGGACGCTACACACGCGGTCTCTTGGATCGAGTGTAGAGAGTTCGGTGATCGACATTAAAAGTTACCGCGCGCAGCTCATGAGTGACACTAGAAGCGAAGTGTACTCTCTTCAAGTGACATTAAATTATGGGGATGGCAGCTTGGGTGAGTTGGATACTAAATTATCCAGTTCGACAGAGGCATAACTTTCAAGTCAAGAAGCCAGTCTCAAAAGCGCAGCATTTCTCGCAAGGGCAACTCCAACAATGGCACACTCCTGGGCTACAGGCAACTCACGTTTACGATGACGACGATGATCAACAAGATGGCAAGGATTACCTGGACCACGAGGACCATGATTCCAAACACTAAGTAAGGCACGATGTAGTGTCGCTGATCCTACAAAGATAAAAATCGGCTAAAACAATGCGCTTTGAAGCTTTTTTCATTCATATAACTATCAGAATCAGAATCTATTTATTTTGTCACAGCGTTTTTACACACATGTGACAAGGGAGGCCAGGAAAAAAACTTCACGTTTGCAGCTTGATGGGTCCCTGCCCCCTAATACACAAGGCAGAGCGGCACTGACATAAAAAACACGGAAGAAAAACGCAATGAAGATAACTTATATAAGATGCCATATAAAATGAGTTCCATTGAAAGTAGGTTGCATTTCAATAACACACTGGAGTCGATAGATATAACAAACATGAGGCAAAGGATTTCACTCAATATAGGAAAGTCTGGATTGTATGAGGATTTCATGAAGGTGAATCAAAATCTTGAGAAAATATGTTGTTTAAGAGTGACGGTAACCTGTAACTCAACCTCTGTAAGCCAAAATTAGTTCTAGATGATGGGATGCGCCATGGATGCCCATGACGTGAGGGATATAATGATACATTATTTTCAAGCTTGGCGAGGTCTAAAATAATTTATTTATTTACTTATTATTAGTGTAATATGCTCGTTAAGGAAAAATGATACGTGACAGTTAATCTATTAAAGTGCATGTTAGATGCGTTAAGTATGTTGTGCTTTATAAATAAGGAAAGAGAAGTAGAGAACTATGATCGCGTGGGACATTTTTATTATCCTTATTTCTTTTTTTTTTCCTGAACCTCAATCTGTGAAAGTTACTTTTTGTTCTTGTCCCCAAAACAGATGACAATAACAAGGAATTGAATGAAAAAGATAATTATGCATTGAGTTATTTTATAGTTACAGAAAATGCTATGGTAACGATACCCAATAACATTATTAGGGAGTATCAGTAGATAATTATTTTAGTAACCTCCTCTCTCATGTAGGAACCACAAGGGTCGGCAACCGCTTCATATAGACCGAAAAGAGTCTACAGACACGGAGTGAAAGTAGATTTGCAGCGGTGTTTGAGATGCTGTTGCCCCGTCTCCCATTTTTCCCTTGTTTCGATTACTTAGGGTTTTGCAGTAATTAAGATCGAAGTAGTTGTCCCAGGATTGTTTTGTTGTGGTCGTTTCGTGTTTGTAATACTTAGTACTACATAACTTTTCTTGAAGAGGGGAGGAGGGGGGTGCTTTGTAGTTGGTGGTTTTTACTTTGCGGATCCGTGTAAAAGGCGACTGAGTAAATTCCCTAACTGAAGCGAGAACGGCAGGGTGTCTTTTGAATGCCTGCCTCGACTCCAATACGCACTCCATGTCGTCGCTGTGCTTTGGGTGTGCAAACACGCTCGAGGTTCATAAAATTCAGGAGCACAGTCAAAGGTAGGAAGCTCGCACTGGAGGCGGGACAACTGAAGATCCCTCCTACCTGCCGTTCTCACCGCGACTGTAGAAGAGTTTGATACGTTTGCCCCTCATTTTTCTTTCTCTGCCCATTTAGGTTACCTTGATCACAGCCCAATCTCTGTTAGATGTCATCATCGTTTCAAAACACGTTTGTATCGGAAGATGCGATTACAAAATTCGAAAGCTTGACTACCTTCGTTTCACCTCATGTCCAGACGCAGCTGACGCTACCAGCTGATGGGGCCAATCAGACATAAAAGGCGCACCATCACTGTGCTCATCATATGTCTGTCCGCGTTCTATCATCGCTCAACCAATCGTAAACAGAAAAGTACCAGTGACGCGCGTTTTAACGCTAATTAATTCGCTCTACTGGCTCGTAGGGTCTGTTGCGTCTGAACGTAAGCTGAAACGAAGTACACCAAACTTTTCCAGAATTCTTAGTTTTCAATGTACAGTCATGTCTCGTTGATATGGAACTCGTTAATATGGATACCTCGCTATATGGGCACCATTCTAAGGGGCGAAATGGGAAAACGCGTGCATTTCTGTCTGTTCATTATGGTCAACTCACATTCTGGACTATTTTTTGGGGATCGAAGGTGTTTATATTAATAAAACATCACCATATGCCAAGTGGAGAAAGAAACACTTGTTCCTATTAACTATACGAGGGAAGAGCAGTCGCAACGGGCACAGAACTGTGACTTAACAATCATTTTTTCCACTTTTTTCTTTGTCACATATTGCAGATGCTTGACAAAGTGGGATCAAGACTGGCAGACAACGTGGCGAAACGTGGAGTTCAAACACCTCATACGAATCATGGCCTCAAATCACTAAAATACGTTATTGAACTAGATGCCGATAATGTGAGCATCCCTGAGTAAACAAATCTAGTGTTAACTCTCAGTCTTACAGATAACCTAATTTTCAACCTGTCACCTCAGATTGGTGTGCAGAGTAACGTATAAGCTGTGAAATATTTTTCTTCATTGAAAGAGTCTGTTTATGTGTAAATGAGCAATCCTTTATCGGTACTCTCATTTCTCAAAGAAAAGAAAAAAAAAATCACTAAAACGTTTTAGGTTCGGAGTATTCTTCTACCGCTATCAACTCTAAGCCTCGTAAAAAAAAAAAAAAAAACTGCTACAAACGTGTTTTTTTTTTTTTCACAATGTTGTTTTTTGTTAAAGTGTGTTGGGCACCAGTACCCGTCTTTTACTCAAAACCTTCTACCCTTTTGTAAAAAAAGAAAAAAGAAATGTAAAGGGTCTTATTATAATTCTTACTATTATTATGAAATCTGGCTTTCCTGAAGCTCGAACAACAAAAAGCAGGAAAGTGGAGCCTTACCATGTAAGCGCCCCTGACACAGAGGCTGGACACGATGAGCCCGATGACGCAGATGACGGTGTAAGCGACGTATACGCCAAAAACAGCTGCAGAGAATGCAACAAACATGTCAGCACAACCTAAAGAGTAATTTTGACGCGTGTTTGTTTAGAAAACAGGAGTTAGTCGCCCCCAGTGGGTGCGTGGTGTCTTTCCTGTAGATGATAAATTTAGACAGTGCAGCACCACCCCTAGCTAGGGGTCTTTAATGTGCATCCCGCAGTAGTGATACGTGACGACACGCTGGAACGGTGCTCGTTCATATCAAAACGCGTAGGAATGGAGATTGAACACAGGATCTCTGGGTTGTGCTGTACAATCTTTGACGCCACATGCCCCGAGTTGCGGTTGTTTAACGCGCTCGGCCACCGGTGCCCCGGTACAACCAGCTTTGACGGGCTTCTGTCGAAGCATTTACGCGTGCCTAGATTTCTCTGGAAGCGCGACTCACAAGGACCCAACAATTTAGAAAAGACATCTGCGACGTAAAATCTAGCATTTTTCTTTCGCACGAAAATCGCTGGCTTAGAGTGGGCTGCGGGGGGCTCTGCTCGCTATTTTTCTTAGTCAGGTGCGAAGACTACAAATCGAAATATTTTCAATCAAATATATTATTTGTGGCATATCTTCATTTATTATTAGAATAATAATAATAATAATATTAATAATAATAATAATCACACATATTATATAACTCATAACCACTGAGACACTAGAAAGGCAATACAATCCAAGTTATCTGGGACCTTCGACTCGCGAAGTTTTTCTCAGCAATCCACCCATTTTGAAGTCATGGTTCTAGAGGTTGTGGTATGAAAGTACATGTTTGCGTTCCATGGTTGGCTTGTGCCAGCGCTCGTGGTGTGCATGGACGTGCGTTTTCTGCTTCAACACCTCGAAGTGGTAATGTTAAAAAAAAGAAAAAAGAGGATTACGCGACTCTGCTGCAGGAAGCTTCTTTGGGTAATGTTTTGAGAACACACTGTGTTTTGGCTGTCCCCCATTGGTAAGGAGCTTTCACAAAGCTTTGCCTGTGTCGGGCCGATTGGCTCGAGGTGGCGGCAGAGTTTTCTGTTTGCCAAGCTGCGGCAAAATAAGGTATAGGCCATTTTACTGTTTACAAACGCAAGCCGTCTCTTCCGCCCCAAGAGACTTCCAGTAGCGTGGTTTTGGCAGGCTTTCCGAGCCTGTCAATATTTCTGAGATGATAAAATCCTCAAGTTCTGTGGAGCTTGGGGATTTATGTTCTTCTATTAAACAGATAAGAGGAGATTCGTCATCTCACAGGAGTTTTCAAACCTACAAATATCTCGCTAATTAATCATTTAGCTGATCATCTGGTGAACTAGTCATGAAATATTTCATGAACGTTGCAATAAGCAGTGGTATAGTGCCGGTTGTTTGTCCTCATTTGATCGGAAGTTCACGGGGATGTAAGTTGCCCCATGGCTAAAAGCGCCCCCTTCTGGCGCATTTAATAAAAGGGTCTAAAGAGCAATCTCGCCGCGCAAGTGAAAACAGTGGCGTGCTTACCTTCCGCCAAGCTCTTCGTGTCGGGTAAATCGTCAAAGGCCTCTGCGACCTCCTTCTGGTAAACCGCGAACGTGGCATAGATGATGATGCCAATCAGGGAGTCGATCTGGAACGAAAGGGGAAAGGTGAATAATAGAGATCCCGGAAATCCCCAAAGCCAGCAGACCTCCTCCGTACTTCCCTTCAACGACTCATCACAGACCCCAACCGTATTTCATCGAACAAGAAAAAACACAGCAACACACACCCCGCTTGCATTCCATACGTGCCTAATACGTCTCACCGCCTGAAGAGTCTCGCTGCCCGGTTCGACACGAAGGTGGTATTCGCATGTAGGCTGAAGCTAAAACAAATATGCCAAAGGGTGAACAATGAAAGTCGTCAACCAGAATGCACGATCAGGCACTCCAACAAATACGTTAAATGCCAAGAAAAGCCAATTTATTATATTCCGCTAAGTTGTGGCAGCCAATACATCGGCCAGACGGGACGATGCCTGAACGTTCACCTCAGGGAACACTTACTAGGTGTTACCAAAGCGTCATCCGACTCTTACCACCCAATTGTTGTGCACGCCCGCACCTGCCAAGATTGCAGCCCTAGCTATGAAAACACTACCGTGCTCGGCTCACGCAAGGACAACTATGGGCGAGAAATAATTGAAGCATTTAAGACCAAGACTGCCGCAGACAATGTTTCCAAGCCCTCGTTGTCGTTATCAACACCACAGCTGGAATTCCTAGCGCCAGAGTTGTCATAAAAAGAGCATCCTCCCCCCAAAATTCATCTTCTTCTTCCCTTTCAGGAAGTTGATTTCAGCTATTTCAATTTATAGCTTTTTCGAGTATCTTTTTCTAGTATTTTCGTCTTCCCTTAATTTTCTGTGACCAAGTGTGATGGGCATCATTTAAATGTCGCTGCTCGTTGAAAAAACTGTGTGTGTCTGTCCCTCGTATATTTTGAATGTTTTTAACTGTAGTCTATCCAACACGTTCTGCTACGAGTACGTACACGTAGCGGTTTCCCCATGCAGTTTGAGTCCGTCGCAATTTTAAAATCTCATATTCATAACCATAAAGCTTTGTTCCAACATGCTAAGGTACATCATATATCATCGGCCAGGGCAGACTCATAGCTACATTTGGCTGCATACCAAAGAATATTTAAAAATAAAGAAATGCAAATTGTATATGGGCACTCTGAGACCTCACACCCCAAGGTAATTTGGTTGTATACAGTTTATTTTTTTCTTTCAAGTTTTACAGATTTGTTTAAAAAGATCCGTGAAAGCTAAATTTATGCGGTTTGTACAGGTGAGTTATAGGGCCAGGGGACATAATACAGGGACTAATCGTAACCATCAGTCGGCTAATTAAGCATAATTTGTTCATTATATTTTTAATTAGTTAAAATATACTAGATTCTAACTCCAAACTTGCCTTAGCGTCCATCAAAAACCACCCAATCAACTCTTTTTGGAAAGATACAAGGCAGGGGCAGCATTTTACGGCGTTCTGAAAGAACGCTCAGATTGGAGGCATTTCTATAGGTTTCGCTTTCTCTGCGCCCGCGGTCCTGCTGCCCGGTGGTTGCGGCACGAAGCCACCGCCTCGCCCTCCTCATATGATGGACAGAAGTATGTCGCACGTGTGTTGCGCGTCTTGGCCACTGAGGAGCAGAACAGCAGGCGCAGAGATGCGCTCCGAAAAGAAACCAAAACCTACAAACGCGTCCAAACTAAGCGTTCTTTCAGAACGCCGTAAAATGCTGCCCCCGCCTTATCTTTCTAAACGGAGTTGATCTAGTGATGACGCTCAACAAGTTTCTAATTGGAACCATATGCCCATTTTCACTAAATAAAAAGGTAATTAACAAATTTTACTTAATCGGTCGACTGATCGTTACGGGTAGCCCCATGTCCCTCTGACTATATAACTCACCTGCACAAACCACGCAAGTGTAGCTTTTATGGCTTTTTTTAAACAGATCTGAAAAGCTTAAAAAAAAACTGTATATGTTTATACAGCTTTCTCAGAAACACTCGACCCCAGGGGCAACAAACCGTTGTCGAGTGCAGTCACTGGGTTTGAGATTAGACTCTCACAGGCGTCCCTGCTAACCCTAACCGACTGGACTGTGATTTCGATAGGCGCAGCCAGCGTAGGCGCAGTTTTAAACACTGCTGGCGGCTAAATTCTCGTCTTTTCCCGCTGTATTTTCTGCTTCATGGTGTACGTATTTTCCCGATGATATTGAAAAAGCACTATACCACATTTAAGATATATATATATATATATTCAAAGAAATATTTGCCCTTAAAGGAGTTGGCCGAGGAGGTTGCCAAAAAAGGGAGCTTGAAACGATTCAGGCCTGGTAGGCTCTTCGTCAGTCAAAGTAAGAACACTTCGTTCTCCTTTTCTTTCAGTCAGAGAAAAAACGGCCGGAAAAAAGAAGAAGTTAATTCGAAAAATGCTTACCGTTTAGCGGGTATCTACTCGACTAAATTCTCGCTAAAAAGTATAATATATCCCGATACCAAATTGCAGCAAATACTATGGAAATAATTAAATATAATATTATTACTGCCATTATTATCATAAAACCAGTTTTTGGGACATGTGGTTGGACATAAGCCAACTATACCTAGTGTCATGTGAAGCCAATGAGAGGCCCAATGTTAAGCGTTTGCTCGTGTCGCATTAAACGATGAAGCGAGAAAAAAACAAAAAACAAAAAAAAACAAACAAACAGTGCGGCACCGATTAGAAGATCTCAATTAAAAGTCCATAAAAAAAGACGGCAATGATCATTTCGAACTGTTAAGGCCCTTCGGTTCTAAAGTATTAAATATATAAATAAATTCAGATTCTTTATTTTTTCGATCTCTGGTGGTCCGAAAGCCCCCCTGGAGTATAATAAAATTAAAATCAGAAAGTCCGTTATGTCCTGCGGAATTTAAGTGACGAAAAACTGGTCCGGCAACGTGTTTACGTATATGATTTTTATGTAGATTCATGCGTTTTCTTATGCTTGTTTTAGTTTCTCCTATGTATTGAATTTGGCGTTTTTTACATTGAATCAAATAAATGACATTTTCCGAATTACAGTCAAAGGTACCATTTATTTTCCAGTTAAAGTTATTTGCTGTGCTACGAATAGAGTTAGCTATAATTATGTCCCCACATAAACTGCACTGGTTATGATTGCACTTGATGCAACCAATAGGGACCAGGCTACGTCCGATGGAGTTTCGGGACTGTTTCAAGAAATCTAATAAATTATGTGGTCTCTTAAACGCTATACCAGGGGGTCGAGGGATAACTGCCTTTAAAGCTGTGTCCATGTGTAAAATATTCATGTGTCGTCTAAGAATATTGTTTATGTTTGGAAGTTTTGACTGGTAGGGTAAGATTAGTCGTAATTCATGGTTATTTCTTTTGGCCGCTCTACTAAACACGCGTTCCGAGAGATCGCTCGACTTTTTGATATGGAATTTTTTATTAGCGGTAAGGGTATCCACGGTTATTGAAGTCCACTCCTAGTGTTCTAGCTTTTATATCAAAATCCTTATTTTCTGAACATAAGCGTCTTAAGCGTAGCATTTGACTGTATGGTATACCTTTTTTGTTTTGTATTGGATGACAGCTTTTATAATGTAGAAATTGACGTCTATCTGTAGGTTTTCGATATAACCTTATATCGAAAACCTTATATTAAGCTGTCATCCAATACAAAACAAAAAAGGTATACCATACAGTCAAATGCTACGCTTAAGACGCTTATGTTCAGAAAATAAGGATTTTGATATAAAAGCTAGAGCACTAGGAGAGGATTTCGTTAACCGTGGATACCCCTTACCGCTAATATATAATTCCATATCAAAAAGTTGAGCGATCTCTCGGAACGCGTGTTTAGTAGAGCGGCCGAAAAGAAATAACCATGAATTACGACTAATCTTACCCTACCAGTCAAAACTTCCAATCATAAACAATATCCTTAGACGGCACATGAATATTTTACACATGGACAGAGCTTCAAAGGCAGTTATCCCTCGACCCCCTGGTATAGCGTTTAAGAGACCACGTAATTTATTAGATTTCTTTAAACAGTCCCGAAACTCCATCGGACGTAGCCTGGTCCCTATTGGTTGCATCAAGTGCAATCATAACCAGTGCAGTTTATGTGGGGACATAATTATAGCTAACTCTATTCGTAGCACAGCAAATAACTTTAACTGGAAAATAAATGGTACCTTTGACTGTAATTCGGAAAATGTTATTTATTTGATTCAATGTAAAAAATGCCAAATTCAATACATAGGAGAAACTAAAACAAGCATAAGAAAACGCATGAATCTACATAAAATTCATATACGTAAACACGTTGCCGGACCAGTTTCTCGTCACTTAAACTCCGCAGGACATAACTGACTTTCTGATTTTAATTTTATTATACTCCAGGGGGGCTTTCGGACCACCAGAGATCGAAAAAATAAAGAATCTGAATTTATTTATAAATTTAATACTTTAGAGCCGAAGGGCCTTAACAGTTCGAAAGGATCATTGCCGTCTTTTTTTATGGACTTTTAGTTGAGATCTTCTAATCGGTGCCGCACTGTTTGTATTTTTTTTGTTTTTTTTTCTCGCTTCATCGTTTAATGCGATACGAGCAAACGCTTAACATTAGGCCTCTCATTGGCTTCACATGACACTAGGTATAGTTGGCTTATGTCCAACCACATGTCCCAAAAACTGGTTTTATGATAATAATGGCAGTGATAATATTATATTTAATTATTTCCATAGTATTTGCTGCTTTGGTATCGGGATATATTAAACTTTTAAGCGAGAATTTAGTCGAGTAGATACCCGCTAAACGGTAAGCATTTTTCGAATTACCTTCTTTTTTCCAGCCGTTTTTTCTCTGATTGAAAGAAAAGGAGAACGAAGTGTTCTTACTTTGACTGACGAAGAGCCTACCAGGCCCGAAACGTTTCAAGCTCACTTTTTTGGCAACCTCCTCGACCAACTCCTTTAAGGGCAAATATTTCTTTGAACATATTTCTCTGGAGTGCCGTCTTTTGTTCTCAGGTGCTGTTCCGTTGAT